TAATATCCTAATTAATAAAATCACATTTTCAATTCAAATTTGTTTCCTCCTCCACAAGACAAAATTATAGGCAGCTTAACAGAAGGTAAAATGATATCTGTTACATCACGCACCCCACACTGAAACCTGTGAGCCTAAACTAACTTGACGTACAACTGATTTTCTCTGTTTTAAATACACATAATGTGGATTGAAAGCCAGACAGGAGAGAAAAACTAAAAACCACAAAACACGAAAAAAACAGAGCATGCAATTTGGCACTTAAATACAAATTTAGTCGCTTTATTGTATCCTGTGAAGTCTGAAGAGGCAGCTCATGGATTCAGATACCTTTTCAATGTTTAGTGCTTAAGGTATTATTGAAAATCTGCTGAAATTATTACTTAATCTGCTCACTATTCAAAAGCAAGTATCTTCCAAAGATTTACCTCTCTATTGCATTAGCACTTATTTTTTCATGCAGAAAATAACACAATATATCAGATAGAGAAGTGTATTTGGTAATGATGAAGTGTGTGTGAGGGTTTATGGCAAAGACTAAAATTATGTCATCAATAAAAAATAAAATAATCAGGATACATGTGAATATATAGATATCTAAATCAAAATATGACATTGTAAGAATTTTTTTCACCCCAGCTTCAGTCTACCTTTAAGGAAAATAAAGTAAAAAATAAAACCCAGAAACCTGAATGTCAACAGTTATTTTAAACCAAGTTATCTTTGTATTTAATTTATCTGTTGTTGTTAGTATAAAAGTAAAAACAAATTCAGAAAAAAAGAAATTATATAAAAGTATTACTAGGATCACAGCTGCAAAGGCAAGCACAGAAAAACTATCCTTGTAACTGTGCTTCATTCTTTAAAAACCAGACAAACCAGTACTGAGGACATCTTGTAAAAAGTCATAATGATTTACAACAAAACATTTTAGAACATACGTTGCATATGCATGGTTAAAACTGTTACACAATGTTCTATTTTCTAGCTAACCTCTGCTCAGCTGTTGCTTCAGAGGAATAAAATATCACAATATAAAGGACAGTACACAGACAAACTCAGATATCAGGCAAGAAGAACATAAAGAATTACAGGGCTGACTAAAAATGAAAGTAGGCATACACTTCCATCACAGCATGTATTTACTTACCCATATTCCCAGTAGTAGCAACAGGTACCTGTGTTCACCACAGAGGAGCTGGCTAAGCTCAATTAAAGAATGACAGGCTACTAAAGAGGTAAATGGGATGGGTTTTTATGATGCATATTTAGTATTCTTTAACTTTTGCTGTGAGCCACCAAAACACGGCAACAGTGTGGGTAAGTTAACCTTGGCCAGTTTTCTGACGCCTACTCAGCTGCCCTCTCACTCCCCCTACTCAACAGGATACAGGGAGAAAATAAGATGGAAAAGCTCATTGGTCAAGATAAAGACAGACAGATTGCTTATCAATGATCCACATGGGCAAAAGAGTGCTGACTACTACCAATTAACACAGATTTGGACCATGAGAAACAAAACCAAAAAGAGTAAAACAGCACTTTCACCCTGCCTTTTTCCAGGCTAAGTTTCACCCCCCTGCCTGTTGAACACTCTTGTAATTAAATACATTTTCAGAGGCACCAGCAATTTGGCTGATGGGCTCAGCTGTGGCTTACAGGGGATCAGCACCTCACTGATTCCTTGTACCTCCCTCCGAAGTCAAATTCCATTAGCAGCACTGGAGGAATGCTCATAACAATTCCTCTGACTGAGTAATGTTCCCTATTCACAATTCTAGGGAGACTGTGAGTTTCCCCTTCTCTATTGATTTTTTCCCCCAAAATCTCTGTAATAGAGCTCACATGACTGGCTGTTAACAGTGACCTGAAGAATGGATTACTTCCACATATATCACTTTGCCTTACTGTTACAACCTCTGTGTAAAAAAAAAATCTCTAAAACAACATTACACTTGAAACCTCAACTGATAGCATAAGATTGTCTTTTACAGTTGTTATATTTCAGTATTTTTAAGCTCACAGTATTTTATACAATGCTGTCTGAATTCTCAACTAAATAATTTCTATTCCATCACTGCACAGACAGGGATCCTATTATGAGGTACCTTATCTCAGGGGCAGGTTTCTTAATGCTTATCACAATGCCACTTTCCTATTTACACACTAGGATTGACAAATAGGTTCTATCCATATTTTTGTTTACTGAGCCATTTCCTGTGTGGAGACAAATTTGATTTAAAACAGCTCTGAAGGATAGAAATGGAAAAACTGAATATGTATCTGCAGTGCAAAGGCAGGTGAGAGGAAGTGCAGCATTCAGAAAGTCAAAATGGAAATAAAAAGGTAGATGAGGAAGTCACTCAAGTGTTATGCTATTCATCTAAACTTTATTTTCAGGATAATTTTTGCCACATAAGTCTCTTATCATCCTCTCAAGCTTCTTGATCCCATATTTTTAATTCCTTGATTCCCACCCACTGGATCTATTTAATTTAAAAAGCTGAAAGAGAGAAGAAAGATTTCTAAAAATGGAGGATACTGGTCTTTGGCAATCAGAATGAGGAAGACAGAATTTGTGTTCACAAAGGCTCATATGATTGTTTCAGGGCTGATATTACATAGGATTGGGAGAGTCTTAACGGAAGAATTAAATAATCAAAGATGCAGAAGCTATTTCCTTCCACATCACTACTTTTAGCCCCTTTATTAAAGAGACATAAAAAAAACCCCAAAACATTCCACTCCGAGGTAGCAGGAATCTCAAACCCATCCTCAAGCTATTTCTGTACATTTGAAAAAAAATCCTATGCAGAAATGCAGCATTTAATCTTCATGAAACAGAAAATTTGAGCTAAAACCTCATGGGAACTCCAGCAATATGAAGCATTCCAACACTTTGATGCCACAGAGAAATTTGTTTTCAGACTAAAAGAATGTGAAAAATAGGCAGCAGAATAAAAATACAAGTTTCCTAACTTTTATTCACCTAGTAGAAGACTAACGCTGGATCACTCATCTTACTAAGAATTTCCTGGTAAAAGGGAGAATGGTGGTAGGAGCAGTACCCGAGATGGTAATAGTGATGGTTCTTTTGGCAATGTGTGAAGTGCAGATGGTATCAAAGATATGCCAGTAACTTGAGCAGGAGCTTCCAAAAAAATCTCTTGTAGTGCATCTTATGCTCTGTGAATCGAAGTGACAGGGACAGCCCTGGCTATCTGGTGCTTTTATTTTACAGTCACTTGAACTACCTTAGGTGCAAGCACATCCCTCAGGCAAAAGTCTAAACTCCAGACATATTTGCATTTGTCCCAGGCACAAGGTACCTCTAACCAATTGATTCATAATCTTCACAGAAGAAAATCATTATCAGAAACACAAAAATTACTTAATCTGATCTGCTTTCCACTGACAGAACCTTTTTTTTTTTTCCCAAGTGTTCATTTCAGCTCTTTCCAGCACATAATTGTCTTCGATGATCGAAATATAAATGATTTTAGGGCCATGATAGCTTCTTTCTGCTTATTAATGTTGCTCAGAGATTTAAATCCACATACAAGCCACAAAGAGGGTTCTAGTGGAAACCATCCATGTCCTTCTATCTCCATTTTCCATAAACTTAAGCTTCTTCTCTCAAACTAGAGATTGGAATGCACACTACCAATGAGATCATTTACTGACAGAAACCAGTGCATAAGGTTTAGACACTAAGTGGCATCTTCATTTGGTGTGTGTTTTAATTAGCTTTATTTTCTGTGTAAATAAAACACTGAGGAGTCAGCCAGACAGACAAAAGACAAACTGTTTTCTGAATAGCTCCATGAAATGAGCAAGAATAAAGTCTGAAGAGAGTTGTATTTACCTCTGAAGCTCCCAGCTCACTTTTAAGAACACTAGGTCAGGTACACAGACACACTGAGAAAATGTGCAATTTCTTTCCCACTGAGCTGTCAAGACATTCATGCTGTGAATAGCTAACACCCTTCTTTGACAACCAGGCAAATATTTCTATTTTCTGCCATTCTAGTCATGAAGTATCTCAGCATTGCCTCAGTTGATTTAGTGCCAATTCAAGTCAGACTTTAGTCTAAGCTAGTAACTGGACCAAGTATTTTTGATGAAGCCTTGTCACAAGCTCACAGACTGCTGCTTAATACATTTCCAAATAGTTAGATAGCTAAAAAGGTTGTAAAGCTGAAAAGGCAGTAAGAAGCAAAATACACATTCACTGAACTGTCAGAATGGAGATTTAAGTAACACATACAAGTCAAACATACTGATGCTTTTACTTGTTGTTAACATTGCTTTTAAAAAACCCTGTAAACTTATAAAGGACTATGTAGTTCCTTAAAAATAAGTTATTTTCCATACTTTGAAAATGTTTTTTATTTAGAAAAGCATAATTGATAGCCAAATCCATCCAGGTAGAACTGAGATAAGGCTAAATAAACATATCCTATTCAAGTGGTAATTGTATGTATATACTATACACATTCCTTTATTTTAAGTATTTTAAAATATAAATTTCTGATTATATTGCAATTGCACCTATTGACCAAAAGTTTTCTTTACCAATATCATAAATGTGGAAGCCAGAATGAAGGGAAGAACACTTCTTCCAATGGGGAAAGATCCCATGGAACCTTCTCAGAAACCACTGGGTTAGTACTTCTTTACTTCTTCTGTAGTTCACAGCTTTTTTTTGTTGCTGTTGTTCTTTTTTTTTTTTTCCCCATGAGATAAGAATAAGCATGCAGGACTAATGTTACAGTTTGTGAATACACAAATAGAAAAAGCAACCCAATCAATTATTTAGAGTACAGACTTTGTGCCAAGACTTTAAAGCACTTTTGAGACTGCATTCCATCCTTTGAGCCATGCTGCATTACAGAGTTTCTATTTCAGGCAGGATTTCGTTTAGTGTTTTAACAGCTATACTTACAACCTACAGAGAATTAAAATGTCCATTAACTACATATGCTATGGACAGTACTTACCAATACTGGCATAACCTGGTGTTGATGGATCTCCTCCACTGTTCAATGAAACCATAAAAGCTTTGTCAGCGAGATCTGTAGTCTTTGGTAAGTCACAAGGATCAACATAAAGAAGAGCACCACCAAACCCAGCATCTTCTAAAAGAGAAAGCTGAGGGAATAAAACAACATTAACTATAGTCACTATAGTGACTATTAACAAAAACTATGTAAGAACACATTATTATTTATTCAAATTACTGTTGAGATAGAGGCTTTATCATGCAACAGGCTCTCCTCACACTATGCTCTGTACAAACTGAATAAAGACAGGTGCAGTTCCAAACTGCTTGGAATATAAAACCAGCCAGATTTTTTGAAAAGACAAAATCAAACCCCCCCAAAATGATTCAAAGTCGTATTTCCTCATTCATGTTAAAAGCTACGTGCAAAGCCTAGCTGCAAAAAGAATTCTTGCTTTTAAATTATGTGTGGCATGTTGAGAAAGCACAGTGCTAACAAATATTACAATCAGATGGGAAATTTGCAACTGTTGTAGCTTCAACTCTTGTATTGTGACAGCCAGATGAGGCTGGTGTGTTGAAGATCATATTCAGATGAGGTCCTAGGCACCATTCAGTAATGTACACAGAGGAACAAGTGGATCCACCTTTGTTCCTACTCACTGGACATTTTCTAGACATATAACCCGAACATTTTCAGGTGCTATAAATACCACCTTGAAAATGCCTTAGTTTTCAAACTAAGCTCTGTAAAACACCATAAGTAGATCTTCCTTTCCAAAAAACTATAGATATATGGTGGCAAATCAGGCAAACTTTCTCAAAGACAGGGACAAAAGCATCCAAGCACCATAACTTGCAGCAGCCTATAGATCAATTTTGACTGAGAAAACTCAGGTTTTTCCTTTTATAGAGAACTGAAAAATAAGTGCATTTTATTCCGAATCACACAAAATGGAATTGTAATATGACAAATACTCCCCTGAAATGAGTTGACATTTCTGCGTAATGCTCTGCGTATTTGGAATTGACTGCAGACTACAACGTCACAAAAGTATATTAATATTTCAGATAGAAGTAATTCTGGTATTTAAGGATTATCTTACTATTCACTATGCTATACTGATGACTTTCCAAATGGTCTGTGGAATAACTGCAACTGCATAATGTTTCTGGATTACACAACTCTGATTCCGTGGTAACCCAAGAAGCAGTTATCATACCTCCCGTTCTCAGTTCAACTGTCCTTCTCTTTCTGTCTTTTAGAAACTTCATTTTTTCTATGTATCTATGTATTTTCAGTTTAGCTTCTAGCTGGCTCTTTAAAGGAATGTTTATGCATAGTTCTTTCTGGCTTCCTAAGTAGGTAAATTACATAAATATACAAAATTCAATTTAAGTCTCAAAAGCATTTAATGTTTAGTTCTTGTTTCCTTGAAACTTAAGACAGAAAAAGCCTGATTAAAATAGCAGCCTAGTATTTGCCATTTCTAGAAATAAATATACCCAATGGTGTGAGTCACCAAGATTTTGATCTCATAGTTTGAATTCAGCTACACAGATGCAAGTGAACCTGTGAATCACTTGTGTAATCTTATATATCTTATTCAAACAAGCAATCCCTTGATGAAAAGAGATAATCTCTTTGAGAGGAACTCCATTCAGATGAACATGAGTGTGCAGCATGAAAATTTATGTGACCAGCACAGCTGTTTAAAAATTAAAAGATAAAAATGCATTACAGACCTTAAATGTAATGCAGGAATTGAAAAATTTATTAAAAAAATGTTATTTTATTGCTGTGTTGTTGTTTCATATTCAGATATTCAGCCTGGTTATTTAATTGCACAATAAAAGGAGGGGGAAACTACAGAAGAAGCAAGATTCATCATATCTAAATGATGCAACAGCCTAGATTTAAAATAACAATTGTTTTTTCCTGCACCCATATCCAGTATCTTTTTATTCATCTCTAGTCTTACTTAACAGCATAGCAGATAGGAAACACAGATGCTGTTTGTTGGGTTTTTTTTGTTGTTGTTTTTTGTTTGTTTCTTGGGGATTTTTTTCTGTTTTTTAAGATGGTTTTAAAATCTTTGTACTTAAAAATAAAAAAAACAAAACAAAAACACAACAATACTAAATTCCTCTGTTTCACTGAAGGAAGGTAACTTCATGGTTGTTATCCACAAAGAGCAGGAACCACTGCTGCCATGGCTACAATCTCTAGTAAGGAGTTGTGATGCACATGTGAAATTATAAACAGCTTTCAGATTTCAGCTATAATTGCTGCTTTTTAACTTTCCAACAGTGATATCACAACTATGCAAACAATAAATAAGTAGCGTTGCTTCCATTTTCACCTTAAATAAGTCAACATCTTAACAGTCATGAAGTGCCCTAGCACAAAGAAGCTGAGGAAGGGACTGAATAGTTTTAAATAGCTAAAGAGTATAAATTACTTTGGGTAAACTATTCAAATCAATGGATTACCTCAGAGTGTAGAACCAACCAAAAGCAGAATCTGGAAAAAAAGAAGCAATGAGAAGCAGGGGGACACTACTTCTCACAGCCGACTTTCATGTGTTTTATCTCACCTAAGCCTCGTGCACACCTGAATGAATGCTTCAGCAGGGGTTTACCTTCGTGATCAGAACGCAGAAACTAACCTTCCAAGAGAAGTGAAGACAGTCTCTCCATATGAAACACCAGTTTAATACAGAAGGCCGGTCCTTAAATGACTGGTTATAAAGAGGGAAGGCAATGCAACCGGTACTGGCATCAAGCTACACTTGTTATCTTTCAGGGAGGAACAAAGTCTACCTCCATGAAGGTCTTTCTCCCCGGTCTCCCCTTCCCAGCCAAGATGATCCTTGCACCTCCCAAGACTAAAAAACGCAGGAACAAATCAGGTAATCAGGCTTCATTCTTGTGTTTCTGTAAGGCTTTTTTACTCTGCTTTCTATGCTTGTCCATTTGTGTGTCTTGATCCACAGTACTTATTGAACTACTAATTAGTTGGCAAGGAAGACTTATTTCACAGGAGAAATTATGTCAGTATTTTCCTGCACGTGTAATGAAAATGGGATATCAAGTAGACAAGAGATAGATCCTGCTAATGCACCATACTGGGAAGGCATTAATTAAATCTGAAGCGCTTAACCCTTAATGGAAGGAGGAAAATCATAGAAGAAATCATGAGAGGGAGTGACAGATGGAAAATAGTATAGGAACTTGGACCACAAATTGGACTCAACAAAATCAAACCTTGCAAAACAAAGCTGCACAAAACCTGTTCAATAATCTACAAACAACCTGTTCTTTTTTTCAACTGATACTTGATGTAGGATAACACAATTTGGTAAAGGACATATTGGCTTACAATTCTATAGAAGGGACTTTGTCAGCATGGAAGGTTCTATCCTTACTCAAACCAAGTAGCACTAACATTTTTTTTGGAGAAGTTACTTTAAAATACAGCAACTTTCAAATGCATTTCACCATTCATACACATTGAGTACAGTTTTTCAGCATGTGATAAACTAAACTCTAGTGCTTGGAAAAAAAATGAACCAAATTTTTCCATTTTACTATAGACTCCCTTCTGTTACATTTACTTCTGAATACTAGGTTCAATATAAACCCAGTGACATTTCCTTATTAGATCTATTTTCAACTATATTACATAAGCCTTATGACTTCCAATCACAACTTAATGGTTAAAAAGTATCAAATAAAAACTAAAACTAGCTGCACATGGTATTTAAGATGTCTTTTCCTTAGCTATGAAATATTTTCAGCACTGTCCTAGTTAGAATTTAAAAGTCTGTTTTTTCAAAAAGACCTTTAGCCCATGAAGCTGTCTTAAACCAAAAGTGCCTCAAAACATAGTTCTCATCTTCACAAGGCATTCATGTGCACATATCCCACATTATTGAATCTCTTGGCTGTATCCTCACCCAGGCACTTAAAAGTAATAAACAGAGTTAGGCTGTTCCCCAAAACTACTCACAGAGTTTTGAATGCCTTTATACTGTATCAGCTCAACATGGCAGAAAGAAGCTGCTGTGTAAATCAGAATCAAAGTAATTATGCGATAGACTGGAAGGCTTCTGACTGATGTCAGTACCATGAAGATTATATACCCAACCTCTGTCAATTTATTTATATGAAAACCTGGAAATTTCAGTCACAGCTTAAAGTCACAATAATTAAAAAAATTTTACAGTAAAAAAGAGTCAATGAAAATAAGTCTGTGTCTGCAAACTAACAGAACCCTAAATAAAGAGATTAAACATGCTTTACTTATGGGCATTTACAGAATGCTTAAGCATGGGAATTTTTAAGCTTAATGGGGCAGTTTGCACTCCTTAAATCTGCACACAAAATTACAAAAATGGTAATTTACACAACGTATGCATTACTGTAAATGACATCACAGTTCATTAGGCAATAAAGGCCTTCAAGTGTCAGCTATTTACAGTACAGTTAAATTAATGTTATTATTCTAGCATATGACCTCTTCCATATAATTTCAGGCCAAAAGTCCTCCTAAAGCCAGATTGACAAATGCACTCTTTATTACAAGTCCATAGAGGTGCTAACACACACAGTTAAACATGAACATAACACATTCATAACCTAAAAATTGATTGGATACTCCTACTTATATCGTAATTGCCATTGCATCTTCTCTGCACCTTCTAAGCAATCCACGCAAAAACTCATGCAGAATTTTCCATTCAAAGTCAGGATACATACAGATTATTTGATCAAAAAAGCAATTTTAAGAAGAAAAACTAAACATTAAAATAACACAATACATAATATTCCAAAGGAGGAAAGAAAATATCTCAAAGATATATGAAAAAAAAAAAAACCAACACATGTACCTATTACATACTACTTTCTGCTTAAAATCAAACATTAATAAAACTCTGTAGAAGCTGTATCTCCTGCTATCATTACACTTCAATACAAAGACCAGGGTTAGTCAAATAACAGCAACCAGTTTTCAGTTAATGCATTTTTTGATTTGTGGTGCAATGTGCAAAAGACATGGTTCATTAATCTGAGACAAAGCTTTACTAGCTGGACGGGCTCTAAGTTATTACTCCTTTCTACTGAAGTTCTGATTAAAATCATGACA